GGGGGTCATCGACAATTCAACATTATTAATCAAATAAAATTGACTCATGGGTGTACTAAAAATCTAAAATGGAGAAGTAATCTCATAATCTCATAGATGCTAGTTCATGTGGAAATATCATACAAGGTACACCACATTCCTGATATAGACAGCTTGAAAACACAAGTATAATTTTTATTATTTCATGCTATGTTAAGATTTGCCTCTTCTACCAACTATTTTTCTATTCTTCAAGGAAACTATAATAAGACTTCTTTGACTACTGACTAATGAAATGACATTATTGGCGGCTGACTGAGCTTACAAGCAATCTTGCACAGGGTTCATCAGGAAAAAAACATTGTACAATACATAAGATATTTCAAGATGCATATGAGGACAGCTAAATTGCAGCAACAAAATTCTAGTTGTCGATTACTTCTATGAACTGAAAGCAAAAGCTTGTGTGACTTCAGAAATCGTAGATTCAGTACATACAGGGGAAAGAACACAAGCAAAACTGCATGCACTATGACCAATATGAATAACAATAGAAAAATATCTATCCATTTAAGCAATTTAAAGCAAAAAAATTACTAAATTAAATAGTTTAAACCTGAATGGGGAACATGAGAGCAAGCATAAGAGCTCCAAGCAGGGAAGCGACCCCCAACTCTGCATATAGAAGCACCAAGGAAGTAACTATCCGAAAAGGAGCTGACCATAAAGTGTGGAGAGATTGGCATACTTGCTGGATAAGATGAAAGGTAGCAAAATAAGTCACCAAGCAGCATGCTGAAAGTACTATCTTGTGTGTGTGACTGTGTGTGTGTGTTTAGAGGATGGGGGTACAGGTGTATAAGTAAATATCCATAGTTTACTTTGGCTTCTGTGTGCCTTTGATTTGTTCGGGTATGCCCGTCCTACTATGTATATTCGCACTTGGGTTACTAATGTTAATATTTACCGTTTACCCAAAATAAACATCCATAATATAACAGTGTATTGTTAAAATAGCCAATACAGATTGTATGTAAAATTACAACCAATTAGAGAATTCCAACAAGCTTAACATTGCAGCATGATACAAACTTGAAGAAGGCTAGTATATTTCTAATGAAAAGTACATGCCTGAAGAGATTCAGCATCAGTTGTCATTAAGTTGGTTATCTTTCCAGTTGCAAACTTTTTTCGACTCTCATGGGTTAGCCTCAGGGACTTACGAAAAACTGCAGCAACCTAGAAAACATCACAGCTCCAAAAGCATAAAAACAATGCAGAACATATGGCTGTGCACTGTTAAAAAATTAGACAGGAAAAAACAAGCAATTTGCAAATCCATTCATATGGTCGTGGAGATACCAACTATAATATGCTTTCTTCCATTCACCAGTCATTAATCATCACTGATACAATAAAAATTTGAGGGCCATCCCTTGATATTCCAAAACCGGATACAGAGGTATCAATACTATCTGAAACAGACTGTCTGGAACATTCTTTTTTTTTCAAAACACAAACCGACCAGAACCGATAAACCATGAGCAGTTTGGTTTGTTGTTTAGGCTTTGGAAACAGAACGAGCCGACCAAAATCAACTAAAACCAACCAAATCCGATCAAAACTGGCTAAAATCAACTGAAAACGACTCGAACAAAACCAACTTAAGTTATTCCGTTTTGGTCTTACATTTTCAAAAGAGAACCGATCAAACTGAAGTAATGAAAGCCCTAGGCAAATTGTAGACATGAGGGGAATGAAAATTTCCAAATTTAAAAAAATATAGCTGAACATGTTAACATCAGCTAAGCACAGAAAGCCAAGCAAAACATGAGAAATTGTATAACTGATAAAATTTGACCATGAACAACTGAGAAATAGAAAAGAGCTGAAGAGGTGATAAGGAATAGAGAATAAATATCTCGAAAGAAGTTTAGACTTTAAAAGGTTCTACTATTATACAACTTAAAGTGCAACATAAACTGTGAATACTGCCAACAGAATAACTTACCAGAGTTGAACGCAGACGATAACCAACACGCATGACATTCTGAAAATATTGAGCTTCACACAGCACACCAATTACCTAAATTATATTTTTAGTTTAAACAAAAAGAAATCATTTGAGAATCTCATTTAGGGGTTGAAAAATAAGATTTACGGAGTATATTTTATCTTTACATGTAACATATTAGGAAGTTTCACCACAGGATGCTGATGAACCATACAGATAATCATGAGTCATGTCAATTCACATTTGCAGCGAATATAGAGCATTAAAAATTTATGAGCGGTGTCTTATATATATATTTATTTATTTTATCTTGACTGCTCTACTTTTTTATATATGAAAGAGTGAAGGGGATATATAATGGAATTTATTAGGAGTCGAGAAAATAATATGGATTTGATCTTTACATGGGGAGAAACTGAATTCATACCACTCCAAGGAAAATTGCGACTGCATAGATGTAGCCTATCCATGCTGGATCTCCTCGTTGCATTGACTGCAGGATGTAGAGGAAAATGGACCATGAACCAAGATATTTAAATAAGTGTTTAACTCCAAAATATTTTCATTGAATTTAATTAAAGTTTAAGGCACCAAGTAAACCACAAAGCTCTCTGTTTCATGCAAACACTAGGTGATTCTAGATTACTCAAGGAAACAAGAGCAAATAAAGTTGAGGAGCTAAATTTACTTATTGATTCCCTCAGTGATGAAGTTCTTTCTTTCACTAGAATATGACTAGATAAATACTCCATAAATGATTTAAACAATGGACCAGAAAAATACTCCCTTTGTTACCATATGTTTGCCCCATATTTTCATTTTGGCGTGTCCTAAAATGTTGCCTCATTCAATATTTGGCAAATGTATGTCAGTCAAATCATCCATACTTCACAAATTAAATACCAAACTCTTAACTGCAATTTTACTTTATTTGCATGCCACAACTTATTTTTCCCAAACTTAGTGGGGAGTGACTATATAAGAAGCTACTGTGAATGGACTCCTTTTCACACTCACGACGACAACAACAGCAACAGCAACAAACCCAGTAAAATCCCAAAAAAAGTAGGGTCTGGGGAGGGTGTAGAGAGGATCCACTATTTGCCACTACATATAGTAAATGAATAAAGCTAATAGAGGATGTAGAGAGGATCCGGTGTTCATAATAAATAGAGCAATATGATAGTAATATAGTAAAAAGCAACCATGTAATACTAATACCACTGACCTGTAAAAGTTGGTTCAGAACAAGTGGCCCAACAAACTGGGAGAGATCATTGAAAACCTAAGTGTAAAGAAGACAAAACATGTTATCATATTGGTCTGTGCCAGATAACTTTGCAAAACAACAGCACTGGTGAAAAATCTAGAGCACACAAAATGTTTTACAACTGCTGCAAATAAAGAATCAAGACTAAGTTACGGAGTAAAAACTCAAGATAAAAACACCAAAGCACAACATTTACAGAAATGTGGCTGACAATCTGATCCATACATGCATCATTCTTGCATGAATCTTTGTTGTGTCTGTTTTCTTTTTTGGTCTATCCCAAATTATTGTGCATTTTTCTATTTATAAAATGTATTACTCCCTCCATCCAATAGAAAACTTCTTGGTCTGACTTTCACAGTGTTTAAGGAAGTGATGAACAGTGAAAAATGCATGGTAAGAATTTGTTTAGATGAGAGAGAACTTTTGTGAGCCACGTGTTTATTTCTTTAAAAGGAAATAAAGTTAGGAATTTTTTGGGACATCTGAGAAGAAAAAGTAGAAAGATTTAGGTGGGGTTGAGGGAGCATATGGTTCAAAGTGTACCTCTCTCCTTTGCATAAATCTCAATCACAATGTTAACTGTATTAATCCTCTTGAATTAAGACACAAGATTACACTGAAGGCCTACTAGATACTCATATAATGCATGTGTGGTCAACATGAAAACATGAATTTCCCACATAATCACTAGTCCTTTAGTCACGTGTACCATGAATAATGCACTTCAATTCAATGTGGTCAACAGTAAACATGAATTCTAGATGTATGCCACAGCACACCATGAACTTGGGACCGGGGCTGTTCTGAAAAAAAAAAAATACGGAGTATCGAATTTATGTGTTGTGCTTTCTACACATGGCATTGGGAGTCATGAGATTTTCAATAGTTTGAAATACACATTATCACATGTCATTTAAGTTTCACAAGCCTAGACGTACACATACTTAAATTCATCTAAGAAATACAAGTAACTAGATTAGTCAATTACCTTCCAGAACCCTCCCCACCAAAACCTGAAAATTTTTAAATAAATGAAAGAATCTTAGTGATATATTCGAGCTCTGCTTCATCTGAAAGCATATTCTAACAAAACCATGTTCATAGGTCCAAACTTTTTTAAAATCAGTTCAAGGAATAATTGATTCAATGGTTACCTCCCCCCAAGGCTACGGTTTAATGCTCTCAAAAGCCATGGTTGAGGCTTTCGAAATTCTTCAGCCCAACATTTTTGAAACCTAAAGAATCAAACAAATGCCAATTTTGTTGCAAGTTACCACTTCAGAATTAAGCCATTCTACCAATAGCAGTTTAAAGAAGGGGGTGATTAATTAATAATCACAACAGATCTAGGCACCACTTACTGATCGTAAAGTGTTTCTGTCCTGTCCCATGTATCTAGTTTCCAGACATCCCTTTCTGTCAGTGGTCGCTTATAACCCAGTTGCATAAGAGGGTTCATCCATGCAAAAGTTATTTCTGTGAAAGAAATGAAGTGACATCATCAACATTGTCAATGCCATAATTCCCAACTACTTGGGGCCAGTAGCATTTAACTTATAATGCAAATTTTTGTATAAAATACTCAATACAATAAATTCATGGAAACAAAACATAATGGAAACATTCAACATCAGATGCCCTTCCTGTCACAGCCATCATAAGAAGGAATTATGGGATGAAAATTCAAGAACCATCATAATCATATACTCCCTCCATCCCTAAGTAGTTGTCCACTTTTCCTTTATGGGCCGTCCCGCAATATTTGTCCACTTCTACTTTAGGTAAAGAAAAATAGAGTAAAAGTCCATTACACCCTTCAGCTACTTCACTACACCAGTGCAGCAGTGCCCCATCTCTCTCGCACACTTTCGCTCCCATCCATAGTATTCCATACTAGATCTCTCTCTCTCTCTCTCTCTCTCTCTCTCTCTCTTTGAGTATTCCTTTCTTCTATTTGATTTTTTCTGGCTTTAAACTTTGAGTGCATTGGGAAGTGGATAACTAAGCTAAGGTTTGATGGCAGCAACCTGGGGCTAGGGGCAGCGGAATTGTTTTTTCAGTGGTTGACGGACGGAATCCGGTAATCTTTTGCGATTCAAAACCCTATAGATTTGTCCTCATCATTTGGGGAACCAATTCAAGAATTCAGGGAAAACTGGCTTTTGTCGCACTCTGATTCGTCCTCCGCCATGCTCCAAAATCCAGATCTAATCGATTATGTTTTGAATCTATCTAAAAAGATTACTTTCTCTTTTTTTATATATAATTTTGAAATTGAAGGGTTGTTTATGGAACTTTAGTGAGGAATAATGGAGGATGTTGTTGAGAATAGAGCTGGGTTGGGCGGCGACGTGCTACGGTGCTAGGGATGGACTGGGCGTCGGGTGGTGGTTGGTTTTGGGTGACGGGTAGATGGCAGTGAGGTTGTCCCCCACACCATTGTTTTTCAACTCTAAGGGTATTTGTGACTTTTGCCCACTTTTATCTTTCCTTCTTGGTATTTGTGCCACTTTGAAAGTGGACAAATATTGGGGGACGGAGGGAGTAGATTATTTCAACACGAGTGGAAAATATTATGAGATGGCAATAAGTTGAGATATTTGTTACTGTCAGTTTTCTTAACATGATTGATATTGCAAAACACACATGCAGATCGTGGAACATGACCAAAAGAAACACTGCAACAGATACTATAATTTCTATATGATTGTATTCCAAGGCTGCCAAGCCACCCTATAGCTGCTCTGTATTCTTGGGGAGCAACAACCTCCAGGGGCAGACTTGGCATTTACTGGAAATGCTGAAGGTGCCTCCCACACCCACGGGAGACAATTTGAGAGCACTTATTTTTCATACATAACAACGTATCTGGGAGAGCATAGGATTGATTGCATTTGTAACTTGCTTAGAGCTTTTGATGTAGTGTTCTAGGTGAAGGGGTGGGTTCAAAAATACAAAGGGTTGGACGGTTACCATCCAAGCACCCTCTATCAGTGTACTTTAAAAGTTCAAGACCTCAAGTAGGCTAAGGGCAATTTCCTTGTATATGTATATATACGAATGTCGTATGCATTTGCTTGTTATACAAAATAAATATTCAACTTTTGCTAGATTGCTCCCTTCTTCAACAAGAGACTCCATATGGAGGTGAATGTTCTGCCATGGCAAGGCATCAATAGATTATATTTGGTAGCTTTCAATGGAAAATAGAGAAAAATTAAGTTTGGAGAAAAATTAGGTATCTTAACAATGTGAAGTAAAAAATTTTAAATGTGACTTCAATCTACACCTAGCCAGAAATACTCAGTTATGTCCTTTTGAGAAATTAATGAGAGGGGAGCTTCCCACTTGGCTTGAGTGGGAAGGGGACCACCCTTAAGGATTTTAGATGGGAAGCTCGCCCAAGTTCAAACCCCAGCGGGGCAGTTGATTCTATGTGCTTCAACAGGTTGAAAAAGTATGTATGAACAAATACTAAATTGTAATAGAGTCAGTGGTACTCAAAAAATGAGGGGAAAAAAAGGAGTTTGCAAGGAAATTAAGTCTCCAGAAATGTTGGGCATTACTTTCGTTGGCTTATCACATATCATATGTTTGTTCTTTATTTCCTGGAAACTGCTTCAGGAAAGTGGGAAATAGCCTAATAGGTATGATATGAATCTTCATACATGAATTATGAAAGCCTTACACCTATTTTAGGAATTAGATAGATGACCAAGCTATCTAAGAAGATTAAACATTTACATACTTTGTTCAAGAGGACCCTCACAAAAAACAGTAAAACAAGACATAATAACCATTCAATAGCAGATAAACTATACATACTGGACAATATGTTGGAGTGCCTCTCAGGACAAATCTGCTCTGCTTCAGGAAGTTCTTCATATGCAGTGTTATCAATAGATTCCGTTTGCAATGGAGAGTAACCCGGATAAGGATCCAAATCAGGGGCATAAAAGAGCAAGAGCACTCCAAACAATGCCTAAACAAACAACAAAGTTTTAATTTGGAGATTTTATTTAGAAGCAAAGCTAGTTTATGTCTTTACTCTTTCTTGAAGAGGTAAATAGGAAACATCCCAGAGATAAAACAAAAATTCATGAGGTCCATTTGGTATATGACCAATATCGAGGAAAAATCCATTATCTCAACTATTTTGCACCAAACCATTTTTAAACACCGTTGTAACCTAGTCGGAACATGGGAAAATTCATGTTTAGCAATATCAAATGAAACTAATACTTTCCAACACGGAGTTAGTGACATTTCATATATAACCAACTTAATCTGCTTTAGAGTTTAGAGATTCTAAAATGTTGTTCACGTGGAACATTTTCTAGTTTTTTTTTTCAAATTTCAGCATAATATATTAGTTATTTGCAAACACAATTACACACACACACACACAAACTAAAACTTTTGGAGAGCACTAAGATGGCCTGTGCAACTGTATGATTGTGTCGATTGTCAACACACTGGTTCTGCTTGGCACGTGATTCTGAATGCCAAGTTCTAATATATGAAAACTGCTCAAATTAGTTGACTAAGTTGAGTGCAAAAAAGTGAAAACTGTCTCCTAAATAGTAAATAGCATCAAACATCTGCGGATATTGCTGTTCCGTGTAACTAGCACCAATAGATGGCTACTTTCAATTTTTGTAAAGTCAATAGTTAATTTTTTTTTGACAGCCATTAGTTAATATTTTAGTAGAATGGGCTTCATTCAAATTTGATGACAACCAAAGAGGATAGAATCGTGTGGACACTAGACGGAAGAGAAAAGATCAACACACCTGGACAGCAATCTCACTAGCATACAAATACAGTACAGACCTGCACAGAAAGTAAAGATAGAACAAATTTTAGTCATTATTGATGACGCATTAGACTCTTAGCTTTGGGTAAATAGTAGACTTAATACAAATGGCACATTAAACTTTCTTTGCTTCTTAGTTTCTATGACGATTTGAGTAGTAAATCCCGTAAATCTCATGCACCAAGGTTAAGGATATAGAATTTCCTTAATGATCTCACTTTTGTAAATTAAAAAAAGAGGCTTAGCAGAGGCCCAATAAATAGTGGAAGATACCTACCTCTGGTAAAATTCCTCAACAGAAATTATGAGGTTGTACATCACAGCATCCCCTACTAAAGCATAAATTACTCCAAACCTAACAGACCACCTAAGCTCTCGGATGTAGATTTTTGTTTCTAGGCCAATCATCACCACCATTGAGAACCATGCAAGAGCTTCAACGATTAAGGAAGTCATCTAAATTGCAAAAGTTTGAGAATCACCATTAATGAAAAAAATAACATATCACATACTCCCTCAACTCCTTAATGCAAGGGATAGCTGAGTTTTTTGGGGAGAAATTAGGGCTTGAAAATGAGTGTTGTAATTATATCATATGGTGTATATTATTGCATTTTATGTTAGTTTACAAGGTGGAGAAAACATATTAAGGACCGGAGAGAGTACTGTGGTATTCGGTTTGTGTGTAGGACTCATAATATCAATCGTGTAATGGATATTACAATGGCAAATATATCAAGTTCTCAACTCATTGACATCTCATGACATTTCCCATGAATGTGGAGATAACCTATGCGGAAGGTGGTGGCAGTTTCAGAATCTTCAAACCATAAATCCTTCTTATGAAGCTTAAAAAAGGGCCTCCGGTGTAAAACATTACCTCCATGAATTGATGGTGTTGCTTAATTTTCACAATTAATTCGCATTACAAGTTTAGCGTTGTTGAGCCCAACTTGTTGGGATTTAGGTGCATATGATGATGATGATGATGTAGACTTTACTAGTGACAGCAAAGTTTATGAGAAATTCATAGGGAAACCATACAATGCTCAGGCAAAAACCATATACATATGCATTAGGTATTTTCGGATGTGGGACAAATTCAAACAGCATATCAAGAAACAGGAAGCAGATACCTCGTACGGAGCAATACCATGCTCTCCATCGACATTCAATATTGAGATTCCCATGATCAATCTATATAAGGGCTCGCACGTGCAATAAGCCGCCAGCAAACCCAACACATAGTTATAGTATTTAGACTTGAGACAAAATCTCTGGACTGTGAAATCCTTTGTTGTCCTCCATATCCGGTACAGGCATAGTACCAAAATCACAAGATGAGAAACAGATATCACTAAAGAGTCCGTCGCACACGGGGTATAAGCTCCGAAAGCATTCTCCACAGCCTTTGACCATACCCCATTCTTCACTGGCTGACAATACCATTCCAGTGGCTTCAAAGCCATTTTTAGCCCCCTTTATCAACACCCACCCTTCTGCCCCTTAAGATCTGAGTCTTCTGCACAAATCATAAATCAGAACTATCATCAGAATACCCTTTAAAAGCCTGTTGACTTAGCCCCATATAAAAAACAAACCAGACAAAAAAAACAGAAACATACGGAGTATGATTCCTAGCATTGAAGCAGGTGCATCATAACTTCATGAAAATCATTAAAGGCCAGACCCATCAAAAAGGAAAGTAAACCCTTTTTTTTCAAATGAAAACGAAAAAGATTTTTGTTAAAAAAAAAACTTTTTGCAATAGATTCCAACCCAGAGCATAAATTGACTTTTGAAATGAGGTACATGTTTTGAATCATTGTACCGGGCACTCTGTGCCTTTGAATTCTTTTTCTTTACAATCTTGCTAGCTACTCCGTAACATGTAAAAAGAATTAATGTTATAATTTCAGCTGGGAACACTAAAAAAAGGGTGCTGAAATCATGAAACAAAGCACCAGCAGAAGATAGAATTAGAAATCTTGCAAGTATTATGATGAGAGGGCAACGCAAAGAACAAGATAAGCTCGCAAAAGTGTAGCGGTGTATCTGTATATGCACGAACAGAGTTGAAAGTTTGATTGTCTGCGAAGAGATTGAAGCACAGAAAGAATTTTACCCTTCACTCACTCCTTTGGTGGATTTTGTTGAGGAGAGAATGACAGACATTGGGTACATAAATCTGGTGTTGTTGACGTGTATATATAAGTTGCCACTGTTCAGAGTGGTGGGGTGCCACTGAGTAAGGAATTAGAGCAATGCTAGGGATACACCATTTAGGGTACCCCAAATGTACACCACTCTCTTTTTCTCTACACATTTTTATTTGATTTTTATTTACTTATTTTTTTTGATTTTTTTTGCCTTTTTTAGTGGACAAGGAGGGGGTGGGGGACATTTGGGGTACACCTTTGGTGTACCCCTAGCATTTTTCAAAGAATTAATGCGGTTTTTGTGGTTTGTTACTTTGTTGGGGTGCCCTCTATCCCCTCAAATTATGTTGGCGCTCCATCATCTCTCACCCTAAATTACTCCCTAATTGGCACCCATCTTCATATTAGCACTGATTGCAAAGCCTCGTGCATTACTTGATTCACTTCCACTGATGAATATAATTTTATTTAATATTTATTTATTTCTACTCAAAGTCAATTTTATCTTTTCAATTAATAGAGTCAATAGCACTCAAAAAATTGAATAACCTATTTCTTTGTTTTATACTCCGTACTTTGTTATTTTTTTGGTTATATTTTTTACCGTGAAAAATATAATTATAAAAACTTATTTTTTGTTTTCTTTACTTCTTTAATACGGAGTATAATGTTTCATATGACACATTTTCAAAAAAAAAAAAGAGAGTTTATTTTTTGTACAAATTTCGTGCTGTTGCTTTTTTATAGCAAAACAAAATAGAAATGGCAAAATTCACAAGAACACTCCGAGAAATTACAAGTTTTACATAAATACTCCCAAATTTATTTATTTACACAGTTACTCCCACATTTGTCTATTGTTTACGTCGTTACTCCACGATTGCTTCATCATCAGTGTTGCTCGGGTGCGTCTTTTTATACGGGGTTCTTAATTTTTTTTTATTGAATTCAAATTAAATTAATATGAACAGACTTGATTTTAAACATTAAAAAGATTTAGGAAGTTTGAAATCTGAATTTTTTTAAAAAAAATGATGGGAAATAAGGGCAATGATTAGGCTTACTAAGACGCGAGAAAGACGATGGAGAGAATAAATTGAGCTGAAATTTGGTATATCAGAGTAAAAAAAATACATGTAAGCATTTTAACTGTTCACTTAACGCAAAAAAGACACGTCCAAGTAACAGTAATGATCACTATCAAATTTGGGAGTAATGATGTAAATAAAAGAGAAATGTGGGAGTAATAATGTAAATAAACAAATTTCGGAGTATTTATGTAAAATCTGTAATTTCTGGAAGTATTCTTGTCAATTTTGCCAATAGAAATTGAACTTGTTTAATTTAAAAGGAAAAAAATTTCTACTCATAATAAACAAGAAATAGAGTGTAAATTAAACATTTTAGGTGGAAATAGAAGCATTCAAATGGGTATAGAAGTATTCTCTCCAATGCACAAAAAAGAAGTTAGAATTTTTTTCAAACGATGAAACCGTTAAAGTATAAATTTTGATCACATAGTTTTTACTCTATTACTTTTCATACTGTGACACTAATTAGATATGATAAGTTCTCAAAAAAATATGACAAAATAAATTACCGCGGAAGAAATACTTCACAGTTCAAAAATGATGCAAATAAGGATGAGAAAATTAAGATGGCATGTATAAAACATCTCTTTTATCAAGATAAACCATTAAACCTAAAGTTAGATCAAAGTATTTGCCTTAAAACTAAGTATCAATTCCGTTGAATTTCTTCTTTGTCCTGATGACTACTTCCCAAAATTCATAGAAAAGTTCATTTAGATTTGATTTTCAATGGAGCCTTAAACATTGACTTTGTGCGTCATTAAATTTATAAAATAAAAAACAGATAGAGGCAATGAGACTGAACTTTTCCTCTACTTGAATGGTATGGAATTCATTCCAAGAATTTATGGACAAGTTCACTCCTAGCAAAAGCAGAGACATTGACTACTTATGTGTCATTAATTTGAGAAAAATTTAAATAGATATTACTACCTCCGACCATGTGTATTTGTCAACTTTGACTTTTTTCGAGTCAATCTAGACAAACGTTCAACTCTAACCAGTGGCGGATCCAGCCACTCACATTGGGGGGCACACGCCCTTAGTGAATTTTTTTATGCAGTATAATATTTAAAAATAAATTGATAATTTACAAGAGTGTCCCCAATTTTTAAGAAGGTCTACCCCCAGTGACTTCTTTTTCAGGATTTGCCATTGACTCTAATACTCTCAAATTGTATTGCATATTAAGATAATGAAGCCATTGACTCTAACTACTCGCCATTGACTCTAACTACTCTCAATACGACAAATCTAATAAACTCATTTTATGTTAAAGTACATACCATTATTTGTGAAGAAGGTTTAAATGTGACACCTGACAAAATTTTTCTATCTACAGTCAGAGGACATGATGCCAAGAATCGTGTTCATGGTGTTGGAGATCTCGCACGGAGCCTACCACGAATGCATGCAAGCCAGGCAAGACGTGCAAGCACCAGTTCTATGTGGGACCCTCGAAATAATGAGATTCGGAGGTTGAGAGAAGAGCTAGATGACATTCGAACTTCACAAGCGCGTGAATTATTGTCGATTAGAGAAGAGATGATCCGACTTTATGGAGGAGTTTTCCCACGTGGAAATGGAGATGGCGGTGGAGATGGAGGAGGGGCGGGGTTTGCAGGGGCTTGTTGAGTTTTTAATTAGAATTGAAGAACAATATATTAAACTTAAGTATTATGGTTATGTAAGTGGAGTTAAATTTGATAGTTATGTTGAATTTTTATAAATACTATTTGAATTTTACTTGTTTATTGGTGATTTGAATATTCTTGGTTGTTTGGTAATCCTCATTTCCAGTAATTGTTGTTGTTTGATGCTGGGATTTCTTAGTTTTGCTAAGGAGGTGTGCGAAAGTGGAAAAACAGCAGGTTGCAGGTGTAAGCTGTCAAATTAGCGACGGAATGAGCGACGGAATAAAATTTCCGTCGCTATATGGTCAAAATGCAAATTCCGTCGCTAAAACCGTCGTTAGTGCTAGCGACGGAAATTTTCCGTCGTAAGTTCCGTCGCTAAATTCCGTCGCCACTTCCGTCGTAAACTAGTGACGAAAAAGAAAAATCCGTTGTCACACTGACTACTAACGAAAAAATAACGACGGAATCTGTTCCGTCGTTACGAAGATCACCTACGGAAATAAGGCTTTGGCGACGGAATTATTCTGTCGCCATTTCAGCAGTTTCTTGTAGTGCATTATGTTTTTTATATAAATAAAGTTAAAAGTTTATTCAATTTGACTCAAAAAAATAAAATAGAACAAAGATAATGAAACCGAGGGAATACATTCTAAGACAGTATATAGCACTAAAAAACAATCAATAAGACTAATGAAAATATCAATTCAAATCAAATCACTCCTTACAAATCTAGAAGGAGGGATCAGTCGGTCAAGCCGAGCGATTTACGGAATACGTAATGCAGTAATTATTAATTAAGAGTAGGTGAGATTAGTTTGACTCAATCTTAATTCTTTGTTGAATCTGTGGGCATTTGAAATGCATGACGGAGTACTATAGACTTTCTTACCTTAGTTACCTAGCCATATAAATCACTCACTACGAGTATTTTTTTTATTTTTATTTTTTTGAATGTTAATGACTTTATTACAATATAATATTTGTTCAGATTTTTTCTTAATCTAATAATGCACAAAGATCCAACACTTCTGCTGGAACTCGAATTTGAGTGAATTTTCTTATTAATCCATCCTAAGAAATGACTTTGCTACACACTCAAGTCAAGCCAAGGAGAGATCTCAGAATAGGAGTATTAAATTTAAAAAAAAAATCAGCAAATACATTTCCTTGAATCCTTGTAGATTTACTTGGCAGTCCCTCCATCTTTAAGGGCCTGTTTGGTTGGTAGGGAAGGAATGGATGGGAGGGAATGTGAAGGGATGGGAAGAATTTCCTTCACCTTGTTTGGTTGGAAGGGTAAGGAAAGATTTTATTTTCAATTTTTTATATTTTATATTTTTATATATTTTCTAAATCTGTTTTTCTAAAATTTATTACTGATATTGTTTATTTTAATTTTAATTTTAAAACTTTTAATTTAACTTTTTAGTTTTTTTATCAATTTACTTTTATATATATTATTTTTATTTTATTTATTATTTATTACTACGTGTGATCCAATTTAGTAGTAGTAATTGTTGTTGTTATTACTTTGATTTTTTTATTTTTTATTGAATTATTTATTTTATTATTATAAATATTTATTTTTTTAATTCTTATTGGTAATTTTATAATGTTTTTTTATTTATTTTATTATTATTATTATTTTTCATTTTATTATTTTATTATTTTTACTTTCTATTTAATTTTTAAATTTTTTAATATTTACTTTTTTATTTTTATTATTATTTATTTATGTTATTATTAACTTTTTGTTTGTAATTTTATAATTATTTATTTTATTTTCTATTTATTTATTTGTTTTTTTTTTATTTTTAATTAATTATTTCTTCATTTTTTGTTTTATTATTTTTATTTTATTATATTATATATATATTATATCATTTGTTTGATGGCAATGTGATAAAAAAAAACTGACGGAAGAAGAAGAGAAAGACATGAGGGAAGGAGGTTTCGTCCGATTTGGAGGGTTTCATTTTGAGGGGAGTGGAGGAAATTGAAACTACAATTTTGAGTCCCCTCCCCCCTCATATTTTTAAACCAAACATGGGGACTGGGGAGAGATTCAGATTCCCTTCCATCCACTTCCCTCGCCTCCAACCAAACGTGCCCTAAGACACTTGAATTCTTTAATTTTTTTTATTTAAAAAGTGTTAAACTCTAAAAATAGACCCAAGTAATATTATTATTTCAATATTATCATGCACTTTAATTAATTTATTTTTTAATTTGTAATTTTTTTTAACTAAGTACCAATTTTTTTAATAAAATGTATTAGTTTATATAATGT